TATATGTCTGATGCGTGCAGGTGCTGAGCCGTTGAATGATTGGAGGCAGTGAAGTGTTCCCGAGAGGTGCCAACATGTCCGTGCCGGAGGTCAGAGGTCAGTTTGATGATGTGGACGCCAGCGACAGCGAAGGCTCCCTGGATGAGGGCCGGATGTCACCGGGGTGAGTGCTCTAGGATTGACCTAGAAAACCATAGAATTACAATATTTGTTCTCGACGCGGTGGAATCAGGTGCTCGTCTATTTTTGGGCATCATGTGGATTTATTGGTATCATGTGAAAGCTGATTTATTTGCCTTTCTTCCAATAAAATAAATCCATTTATCTTAAATAGAACTCAAGATATTGGCGACTGAAAGAAGTGAGGTAGCCTGGTTTCAGTGGTGAAATTAGCGAGAAAATGGTCGCCAAAGTTTGCTAACTCCAATAGCTAAAGAGTCTTTGGAAACTGAAAAATAACGTAGTTTGTGCCTTTAATCTTTGGTTTTCAGTAAAATTCACATGGAATGTGTTTTTACATTGACACGTAAGAGGTCAAGTCAAAACAAAAAAATTCGATCTAAATTTCCAAACTGATGGAAAAATACCTGTTTCTCCGATTTCGATATTTTGACCAGCGTCTGATTTCACCACGCTGCTCACATTTGTTCAGTAGTCTGGTGGTTAGGCTATCAAACTCATAATCATGAGGTTGCGGTTTCATGGTTTCAAGCCTCAGGCCCAACGTTGTGTCTATGGGAAAGGCACTTTACACAAATTTTCCTCACTTCATTAAGGTGGGAATTGGTACCCGGCCATAAACAGCGAAAGATCTTGTCAGTATGTTAGTGTTTTAGCGCCTATAAAAAGTGGCAGCTTGCACTGTATGCTTCCCAGAATTTTGAAATTGTTTCAGAATGCTCTCAGGTCTGCTGGGGTAATAGTATAGATTGTAAAGCGTAGAGCTTGCTGTTGAGCGGGGATTTTTCGCTTCGTAAATGTTATATTTATTAATTGTTATCAAAGCTTCTCCACTAATGTGGAGAATCTTTGTTATTAGAATTATTGATACAGATCTATTTTTATCAAAGTTCGTGCAAATAGAGCAATGGTTCATATTTTACAATACAAAAGATTTTTTTGTTCAGGTTGTGTTCAGTAACATCAGTCTTTGTGCTTTCCTTGTCTGTTTGGGAGGATAGTTGTTGGGGAATAGTCAGGTGTATATGTGGTCATGGTGGGTGGGAGGGAGGGG